GAGATTTTGGATGATTGTACTGGAGATTTTGGATGATTGTACTGGAGTTTTTGGATGATTGTACAAAGTCATTTACTTTTGGATGATTGTACTATTATTTATCTCTTCCAAATAACCATCCTTTTTCCCCCCTGTTGTGATGTACCCAAAAATACCTGTGTCACCAAATAGCATGGAATTAGGTCAAGAATTATCACATAGTTTTGAAACATAGTTACTATTGCCTCAATATATATTATGTAGTCTTACACTGACAGAATAACTTCAGTTCATAAGCAAAACTATAAGTATTTCTACTTTGAGTGTACTGTATACTCCTTCAGAGCAGATTATCAGAGGTCATGAACAATTACAGGAAGAAGGGAACATCAACTGAAATCCTTTCTATTGATGAAATATCTCAATATTAAACATTTATTTGGGAGATGTTTACATCAGTCAGACCTAGGTCTCTGGAGAAGGTCTAATGATGGGAAATGTGGAAGGAAATAGGATGTCAAGCAGCAAGGTGGATTCACCCAGTTTTGTTGTTAATGTGGTGCTGTTAGAAGAGCTGAAAGACCAAATTAGGGACAGATCTTCACAGAGTAAATAAATCTATGTGGTCGCCAAGAGTCTATAATAATTTGATGGCATCATCTATCTATCAATCAATTAATCAATCAATCACACCAGTGGGAGAAAACTTCTATCTATTATCATTTGTTAACTGAAATTGTTCAATAAACAATATTAATTGTGTCAATAATTAATGTTAATATTAAAAACTGTGGGAGATGTAGTTGTTTCATCAGCCATGAAAAGTAAGTTAATCATGGACGCTGATGCTGATATATCATTTACAAAATATTCAGACTTACAGATTGATCTCCTCGTGCTTGAAATGTATTAATTCTTTTCTTATAATTATAAAATACTAGCCTCACTTGGTATAACATAAATGCCATTACTGAAATATCAATTCTAGGTCTTGTAACAGTTCTCACCAGATTCTGCAAGTTGCTTTAATGATGTCATGAGGAGCAAATATCTTCCCCTTCCATGTGCATGGACATTCTTCGATAGGAATACATGTTTGGTTTTGGGAAATGTCATTCAAAACAGTGCCTGATAAGAAAGGAAAACATAAGAACAAATGAAAGAGAAACAATTTAATTAATCTTGACCACACAAAGCTTGAGGTTTGGCAATAAAATGATTGCTCTGGCATAAATTCAAGAAGGGATCCATTCACTTAACTATCAATATCATACTCAAGTTCCAGTTATTCTACTCGGTCTGAATGTTGAATCAGCTTAGATGTGCATCTCTCTCTGAGCACCAAGAAAGCCTTTTTACATAGGAAATCATGAAGTAAAGCATTTCTGTCTCAAAGTACATAAAGAATCTGGTTTTACTGTATGCTTATAATGTAGTGAAAGGATCACTTAACCAACTCTGTTTTCCCTAAGGGAAAATGACAAACACTATTGCTGTTATTTGTGACTATACTAATTTTGAGAATCAATATCCAAATTCTGATTCAAGGGAAGGACAGGTACTCCTCGACTTACAACAGTTCATTTAGTGACCGTTCAAAGTTACAACGCCATTGAAAAAAGTGAGACCATTTTTCACGCTTACGAACATTGTAACAGCCCTGAGGTCATGTGATCAAAATTCGGACACTTGGCAGCAGGTTCATATTTATGATGGCTGCAGGGTCCTGGGTTCATGCGATCATCTTCTGCAACCTTCTAAAAGGTCAATGGAGAAGCCAACTGTGCCACTAACTTAACAACTGCAGTGATTCACTTAACAACTGGGGAAAGAAAGGTTGTAAAATGGGACAAAATTCACTTAACAAATGTCTCACTTAACAACAGAAAGTTTGGGCTCAATTCTGGTCATAGGTCAAAGATTACCTATATTCTTCACATATACTGGGATCTTATGCACTGCTTCTGTTCTGCTGTAGCTCTTTGGCCATGCAGTTGATTCAAAGTACTCTAAACCCAATCTGTCTAAATCCAACTGTCTCACTTAGCAACAGAAATTTTCAGCTCAATGATGGGCCTAAATGGAGGACTGTATTATTAAAGTATCCATTACAAACAAATTCAGGTATACAACATGAAATTATCTCTTGAAAGAGAGAGAGAGAGAGATCTATTACTATAAATGGATACAAATATAGCTCTTGCTAAAATCTCTGCTACAGCAGTATTAAACAATTAGCAACTTAAATATATTCATACCAAGATGATTCTATTTACCTTCTGGACAGAAGCAGCCATATGTACAGTAGCTGGAACAACTGTATTCAGGATTGGAACAAGTCTTGAGACATGGAGAACCACATTCTTTATATTGTTGATTACCTGGACATTTTCCCAGAGCTACAAAATAAAATAATTTAAAAGATTTCCTGAATAAAATAAAACACTAGGTTTACGATGCAATTTTGAGATTAATCCACCTCACTTTTAAAATATCAACTAACTCCATCCAATAATAATTATATTTTCCCCTACTCACGGAAAACTAAGAATTAATGGGCATTAAAATAAATACAATGCTCACTGGGTATTTTATTAATTTAGAATTTATTATTATTTAAGATTCAATAGAAAATGTTTTAGCATTAAGTTTTTTTCTATCCTCAGAGTTGAGGAAACTGCTTTAAAGTATTTTTTTCTTTTGATGCTTTTAGATAACTAGCCAGTCTAGCCAGTAACTGTATCTCCTTAGTTGTCTTGTTATTTGTCTTTAACAAAGCAAGGAAAACATACAGAGCACATCAGCTGGAATACTCTCCAAGCCCTTTACCAGAAACAGTCATAGAAAGTATCTGGATTTTTTTCTGTGTTACAAGTTAATTCAATTTTTCTATGGAAGGATGTCCGTGCATAATTTTATTGTCCTTTAATGTTGCATTTATGTACATACTGGGAATCACAAGGAGGGCTCTGTTTTGGGTTATGTGACAGAAAGTGGACAGAGGCAAGTTATATTCAGTGCTGCTGCCTTATTGCCTGTTGCATAGACATGGGTTTGAGGATGGAGCAGGGACTATTTTTTCCTCTTTAATCCTGAATTGGATCCAACATCATTTCTTAGTCTGATCTCTATTTTGATGGCTTCTATCTTCTGATCAAATTTGGTTCAATTTCTGTTCAGGTTTCCCAAAAAAATATCTTACTGATAGATATGCAGAATCCCAATTCTCTTTATGTAATTTCTTCCCAACATTCCACTGGATTGGGGGGTGGGGAATGGCATGTTTTATTCTTTACTTATATTGGGAGTGGCCAACCTGCAACTCACAGGATTAATACAGCACTAGAACCATTCTAATTAACTAAGTCATAATGGATTTGTTAATATTTCAATGTGTTATATATAATACTTGGCTACAGGCTTCACCAATAAGGAGAAAAGTTTCCAAATAGTGAAACAGGAGACTCTACTCTCTGGGAAAACATTTATAGGAAAACTTCCTAAAATCCTAGGTTTGAGGAATCCACATATACCCTTGTGAGTTTGTATATGCATAATAATAATCAATGTGTGAAATGTATTAAATTTCTGAAAGCAACGCATCTACTAATTAACTTGGAAAAGATACTTTGACATGCACAAAAATGCCAGTCTGTAACTCATACAGTTGCTGTATTAGTTTCCAGAATGACACAACTGCCCAAGATCATTCCAGCTCTTTTAAATCTAACCCAAAGGATTGCATATCACTGAGTTGCATGCATTATGATTCATAATACAGTTGTGTCTACAATTTGTTTTTCTGGACTCTAGGCTGTTTTAAATATAAAAATTGGCTTGATTTACATTTATACTTTGGTAGTAAATCCAGGCAATAACCATTTGTTGAGTTTGATACAGCTATCAAGACACACTGATGGGAGTTGGCAGTGATGAAAAGAAATACAGCAAAAGGTAAGAAGCAATCAAAGGCAAAACCATCCAAAAATAACTACCAAGAGAGTATGCAACTATAAGGAGCAGCAGCAGAAGAAGAACCATGAACAGGGACTCCTCTCTTCACTCGTGTTTCTTTTCTTAATACAAATCATCATTGGAGTGATATTTGCAAAGAAAGCACACTTTCAAAGTGTTGATGCTAAAACATATTACCCTGCATGGATAATTAGAGATATAAATGACTGAACATACAGCAGAAATCTTTGGTCCTCCAGTTGGTCACCTCTTGATGAGACATGGAACACTGCCGTGAGTATTCTGAAAGAGTAGCACAGGTACAATTGGTGTGTCCTGGATTGCTGCAGACTTGCATATCCAATTGGCAACGGATAACAAACTCTTTTTTGGAAATATTGCAAGATGGTGACACGAGGCGTAACAGTTGGAAGCAAAGTGGGGCCTAAGATGAAAATGAACAAACATACAGTCTCAATCAAGTGACGCACATTGTCAATTTTGAAGACTACCACTACCAATTTTCAAGAATATCCCACCAAACTACAAATATTCAGTAGTACTATAGGCTTGATGGTTCAAGCTAGACAGATTGTCACTCTTGGATCACAGATTGTTCCTGGTCTTGTCCTGCTGACTAGTCATAGAATATGGAAAATGAGATTTTCCTTTGATATCAGCAAGAGGAGTCAAAATCATAGCATAAATTCAAAGCAAGAATATTTATGGGGTCCTTGTTACTCTCTGAGTTTGGTGGTTTTCTTGCAGATGTTTCATTACCAAACTAGGTTGTCTACAAGAAAATCACCAAGTTCCCTCCTGTTCAATCCCAAGCTACAAATATTCTTTTTTATTGGTAAGAATATTTTTTCTGATTCCTTGTGTTGGGAGGAAAAGGGAAGCCTCCTGCTTAAACTAGAGCAGGACAAGATGGAGAACTAACTGAGAGAAGATAATGGATGGAAAGCAACATTAATTGAAAAATGCTTTAATTAGAAAAATGGTAAGTTTAAAAAAGACACAGTTTCCCTCAATCCCTTTCAGATAGATGTTCTTGCTCCTTCAGATCTGTAATATAGCAATAGCAATAGCATTTAGACTTATATACCATTTCACTGTGCTTTACAGCCCTCTCTAGGGTTTACAAAGTCAGCATATTGCCCCCAACAATCTGGGTCCTCATCTTACCCACCCCGGAAGGATGGAAGGCTGAGTCAACCTTGAGCCTGGTGGAATTTGAACTGCCAAATTGCAGGCAGCTGGCAGGCAGCAGATGTAGCCTGCAGTACTGCATTCTAACCACTGCACCACTTCGGCTCTTAATATTTCTTTATCACACTCTTTTCCTAAGGGAATTTAAATATAACAGAATAATAACATAGTGCTTACGTATTTCTTTTGAGGAATGGTAGGAGTCATCATCCCTTCAAAAGGACAGATCTCTGCAGGATCATCAATTTTATGTAAACTTGCATATTTATATGAGTCCAGAAGAATACCTGTTAAGTGAGATACACATGTTACTGAATGCAATCGAAATGAGTCTTAAAGAATTCTTCAGCCAGCATTGCTGGCTGGAGAATTCTGGGAGCTGAAGTTCATACCTCTTCAAGTTGCCAAGTTTGAAAAAATATTGCTCTAGAGAAAAATTGATCTTTTGAAACATGTTTGGGCTTGGGCAAAGAATGGCCATTTCAGTCTTTTCCATCCCACTTTTTGCATTCTGTATCCCCCCTCTCAATAAGCCCAATACCTGTAAAATCCAAATCAGTTACTATTAAGTCATTAGTTTTACAGTCCAAGATGAACATGATCAATCCAGCTGAGCATTTCAAATCCTGGATCATACAAGCCCTCTTCCTACAACCATTTGAAGTTACAATGGCACTGAAAAAAGGTGACTTATGACAGTTTTTCACATGAGTGTTGCAACATCCTCATGGTAATGTGATCAAAATGTGAGTGATTGGCAACTGGCAGATATTTATGATGGTTGCATTGTCCCGAGGCCATGTGATCGTCTTTTGCCACTTTCTGACAAGTCAACGGGGAAGCCAGATTCACTTAACAACTATGTTACAGCTGTAGAGATTCACTTAACAACTGTGGCAAGAAATCTCATGAAATGAGGCAAACCTCACTTGACAACTGTCTTGCTAAGCAACAGAAATTTTGGGGTCAATAGTGATTGTAAGTTAAAGACTACTTGTATTTAATATGGAACTCCTTCCCTCACCTTCCTTCCTGAAAAAGACCCTGAGCAGGACCTATAAATTAAAAAAAAGTCTAGAAATCATGTCATTATCTTTAGTATCACTATCTAGATAGTTTTCTCTAAGTAAAAAATTCAGTAATTTCTTATCTTTTATAAAAAGTTTTCAGAAATACTTTTCTAAAATGTCTTGTATAGACAGAATATTACACTTCTCCTTTGTGAGTTGCACTGGTTGACAGTTTGCTTCCAGGTGTGATTTAAAGTGCTAGTTGTCACCTGGACAACTTGATATGGCTTAGGGCCTGATTACTTGGGGGATGTCCCATGGCACCTATGTGGCTGATTTGTTCTGGCAGGATTGGAATGCTCCCGTTCCTTCAACTAAGAAATGCCAACAATGGAGACCCCAGAAGTGAATCTGCCTTCTGGAATGAGTTCCAATCCAAGATCCAAATAGCCCCACCCTGCTGGTGTTTTGAAGACCTGAAGACCTGACTCTTCAGCTTTGGTGGGAATGTCTGGAGCCTCCTTTCAATTTAGATTGTTTGATTTTATTTTCACCTGGTTTGTTATCTTGCCTTTGCTATCTTCTTGTTTGTTTGTTTGTTTGTTTGCCATGTTCTTCATATTTTTATTGATAAGAGTCCCTAGAAGTCAGGTGGCATTTATATTTAAAAATAATGATAATAATAATCATACCTTCACTCAGAAACTCATTCAACTCTTGCCCATCAAAATTTCCACACAGTCCACATGTCTTTGCCATATATTTCTGTTCAATTAAAACCTTAAAAAGGGAGGAAAGAAAACCAATTAGAAAACAACCATGCATGACCTCTTGCCCGTGTTGTATGTTCTCCTCTCAGCTATAAATTATAAAATTTATAGAGCAATGCCATTTTGATCAATGGAATGCACCTCAGAGCCAATCCAGACAGCAACATGCCTATTACAATGTTTGTTAACCAAATCATGGGCTGCAGTCCAGGTCAGCCTGACCTATGCTGCAATATTAATAGTGAGACACACCACAATTAGCAGAAAAAAATCTAAGAAGCTGTCCTGCTCTGGCACCCTAAATGATTAACAGATTTATGCCACAGTAAACCTGCTGATCTACAAGGCATCATATATGACTTCTGTTTGTTCTTGCTTTGACAACCTAGTACGGCTCCTCCTCTGGAATTTTTTCATCAAGTGTTCTTTCCCAACCATAGTTTTTTTTTTCCCAAGAGGAAACAGATGGTCACTTACCTTGCATTATTGCCTTGCATTATTGCTTGAACATATTCCATCTGTTCCATCAGATTAGATGTTGTCATTCAAGACATGGTCCATAGTGGACAATTAGGCAAAACATTTTAAATAGTAACTAATCTTCTCTCTTCATCTCCTAATGTTTTTTTTTTCATTACTAGCTTACAATAAAGAGCAACACTTTATATAATAGTTATCAATTTTACTTCTGATAATCTATTTTCAGATGGGCTATTTTACTATTCCTGAAGGAGGTTTAGAGCAGCCCATGAGATCCATTATATGGTGCCTCTCAGGCTGCAAGACTCAACGTGTTCCTGCTTCTGTTGAATGCAGGGTTTTTCTTTAGTTATGCCTGTCAACTATTATTGGATGTATGTATCCAAATATTTTTAAATGATACCTTTAAAACAATGAGTGAAATTTGGTACTTTATATAAATGTTGACAGCAAAGGTCCAGTAATTGCTGCTTTAAAGAATGGGCTGTTTGGAATAGAAGACTTTGTAGGGGGGTGTGTGTGTGTGTGTGTGTGTGTTTGTACAGAGGTGTGCATGGAAATAAAAACATGTTTTAGTCTCCCCTTTCTGCTATTTTTCACTTGCAATATTTTTAGCCAGTTTCATTCAGACTGATATGGAAGCCAGAAATTCCAAGGACACTGCTCTGATGAAATGTATTTATTATAAGTATTAGGAAAGTCTTTAATAATGATAGAACAGCAGCTAATGCAAACTCTATGTTTTAAGATCTCTCTTTGTTGCACAGTCCCAAGGCTCAAATCTTGCATCCATTTCATTTTGTGAGAAGTAGTTCATACTTGCTTGTGGTTATTGTAATGGACCATCCTGGCTTCTGGCCCTTTGTTTTTGGCTTTCCCTGATCTTGTCCTCTCACACACACATTAATTGGAAGGTTGTTGAGAAAGGAGTGATAGGCAGAGGAATGTTACCAATACCCTTCT